TTTATTTATATAAATATAAAATAGAGATTCTACGGGGTAGAGATTTGCAAAGTAAGAATTATATGTACTTACTGCAGAAAAGATTCATATTGTATGCACTTTATTGGAATTCTGGCCCCTAGGGAGGGATGAAACAAACCCTGCTCCTAAACAGCTGAGTTAGATCAGCTTTCTGGACTTTAAAATTCAAAATCAACCATTCACACCCCACCCCAATTCTGCTTTGACCAGATACACATTCTTGGTGTATTTTAATAACTGACATGTAAATGTAAGTAGGCAAAACAAATACATTTGAGAATGAGAAGTCACATTCCCAAAGGGTTCTCAGTAGGATGTCTTTCATTAAGGAGTCTCCACAGTACACTTCAGATAAAGTTAGACTGACAGAACTTGGGTGCACACGCACATTTTGGGAAGCAAAAAGCTTTCCATAAAGCAAGTCAGCAAAGTGCTAGTTGTTGGCATACAAAGCTGGAGAAATGAACACAAGCTGCTACAGCCTGCGCTCACGGCCTCACCTTAGTCAACTCTTTGATTTCCAAGATGTCATTTTGTCCTCCACCATCAAGAATCCTCTGCCTTTCTCGCCTCACATCTTCATCCTCATCATTCAGAGGAGGGAGCTTTGCTTTTATAGGTCTTCGAGGGAAACAGATTAAGAAAAAAAATGAACGTTTCAAGCCATTTTGTAAGGCAAAGGTCAAGTTCCCCAAGCACTCCTATAAATAAAACCTACTCGCCACAGTTTCCAGGATCAGCAGAGGGTGGCAGAAGCCCACGTCAGGAAAGTCGATTTGATTAGCTACTTTGAGTTCAGCCCAATCCAACCACCATGAAAGCGTGTTTCCCTGTGTTTCTCCACTGTGACCCTCAGCCAGGCCAAGCCCAATGAATTCTGAGAAGAAAGCTCACCTGGGCCTGATAAAGAATCTGTACTGGATCAGAACAGTAATGAGGAAGAACACCACCCCTTCCACAGCCATGGCGAACAGGTTCCGTCCCACCAAGTCCCAAGAGAGTGGTGAGACAAAGCGGTTCTCCCCTGTAGATACAATGCAGAGATCCAGTCAGAATGGAGGCTTGCAGACCACGGCTTTCCTCAAATATGGGATCAAGTCCACCCATTTCCTTAGAAACACTAGTAGGTATCACCCATAACAAGGAGAAAATGACAAGGTCGTGGCCACTTTCCAAGGCCGATATGGAGTAGGGATTCGGGAAATAATGAGTCCAGCATCAACCAACATTTCACAGCCAACGTGTATTAGATGTATAACTTCCTCTAAGGTACCTAATGTTTCCTTTTTAATGAGACATGCTGAAAATCCTTTAAGAAAATGCAAACAATCCCCTCTGATTCAAGGTAACTCTTGGGTCAATATTTTAATAAATTATAAATTTCACTAATAAGAAAAGGATTGGAAAGTACTTTGACCCAAAGATGCCCCTTTCTTTAGCATATAATGTAACCTAGTGACTCAACTCAATCACTTAGCTATTAAGCAAATAGTCTTTAAATTCCTTATACAGCTCCTTTGTCCCACCAAATAGCAAGGGGCAAAGAAAGTCCCTCTTCTATGAAATGGCATGCCCCATATAACCATATTATCTGATGAATGAATGATAGTAACGTGGCCAGGGGAGTGCTATTTTTAGACTCTAAAGGTAGAAAGTGTGGCAGTAAATTACCTCTTCACAGACTGTGTCAAGGAAGATAACGTGGACATATCTGCAAGCCCCTTATTTGTCTAACAATCAGAGTCAAAGTCTATATCCTTCCTTCTGATTCTCTGGCCCATATCTGATTTCCAAAGCTGTGGTTTGACTTTTTCAATGACTCTGACACTCTTCAGTACCACATCCAAGCTAAAACCATCAGTTTTTGTACTTCCAAAACTACCCTCTCATTTTCCTCAGTGCCATTAGAAGCAAGACACAAATGGCTGCCTCACAAGACCCTGCTGTGGCAAGCCCTATCAGTGGAGGGAAGTCCTGTGCCCAGTCACCAACCTCACTGAAAAACAAAGGCCAGAGGACCACAGCCCACACAAACTGCCGTCTCCACTAAGGCATCCCACACCCCCTGCTGTCACTCACCAAACCTTTCCAAGGCATCAGCCATTGCCTGGTTTTTCACCATGTCAATGAGCCCCCGTCCCAGGCAAAAATGTGGGAAGATCAAGAACACAGACTTCAGGATATCATTGATGTTATTCAGCTTCTGAAAACATAAGAGAAAGAAAAAGGGGGGAGGGGAGAGAGAATGATTGTCATTTGTGATTTATGCCAAAAAAAATTATCAAAGTCTGTAAAAAACAGGAATCAAGAGAAAATTCGATTCTTGGGAGACAACTGGACCTTTGAATTCAGACACCAATAAACAGCAGCCGCCCTAGCTGATGATATATGACACTTTAAAAATCTGCTCTTTAGAAAATTGGAACGAATACTCTGACTGGGGGAAGAAATGAACATAAAATTTAGAAACAAGGCTATGTTTAAGCAGCAGCAGATCTGTAACAAAATGATTGCCTAGCATTTTAAAAGCCCGTTGCTTATGCCTGAGTCAACAGCTGAGTTTTAGGATTCTGCTGGAATTTCAAAAATCCTCTTGGAATCCTCCAAAACTTATTAAGTCCCAATAAGTCAGTCACCGCTGCCACCAGTTGCCATTAAATCGATTCCAACTCACGCCGACCTCACATGTGTCAGGGTAGAGCTATGGTCCAGAAAACTTTCAATGGCTGATCCTTTGCCAGGAGATCACGAGGCCTTTCTGCCAAGGGGCCTCTTGGTGGCCTAAAATCTCCGAACTTTTCGTTAACCATCTAAGGACATTGGTAAGGAGCTCGGGTGGCACTGCGGATAAGGCATTGGGCTGCTAACCAAAAGGTAGGCTGCTCAAATTCACCAGCCACCAGCCGCTCCATGGGAGGAAGATGAGGCAATCTACTTCCATGAAGATTTGTTGTTGTTGTTGTTGTTAGGTGCCACTGAGTCAGCTCAGACTCCTAGCAACCCCTATGGACCACAGAACGAAACGCTGCCCGGTCCTGTGCCAGCCTCACAATTCTTGCTGTGCGTGAGCCCATTGTTGCAGCCACCGCAGTCAATCAATCTCGCTGAGGGTCTTCCCCTTTTTCACTGACCCTCCACTTTACCAAGAATGATATCCTTCTCCAGGGAATGGTCCCTTCTAACAACATGACTGAAGTAGGTGAGAAGAAGTCTGGCCATTCTCGCTTCCAAGGAGCATCCTGGCTGTACTTCTTGCAGGACAGGTTTGTTAGTTCTTCTGGCAGTCCATGGTACTTTCAGCATTCTTTGCCAACATCACAACTCAAAAGCATCAACTCTTCTTCAGTCTTCCTTATTCACTGTCCAGCTTTCACACTGCACACGAAGCAACTGGAAACACCATGGCTTGGGTTAGGTGCATCTTAGTCTTCAAAGAGACATTTGCTCGTCAGCAATTTGAAGAGGTCTTTTGCAGCAGATTTTCCCAATGCAATGCATCATCTGATCTCTTGACTGCTGCTTCCATTGGTGTTGACTGTGGAACCAAGCAATGTGAAATTTTTGACAACTTCAATTTTGTCTCCATTTATCGTGATGCTGGCCCAGTTGTGAGGATATTCATTTTCTTTATGTTGAGATGTAATCCATATTGCAGACTGCAGTGTTTAAACTTCATCAGTAAGTGCTTCAAGTCATCTTCATTCTCAGGAAGCAAGGTTGTATCACCTGCCATATCGCAGATTGTTAATGAGACTTCCTCCAATCCTGATGTCACATTCTTCTTCACATAGTCCAGCTTCTTGGATTACTTGCTCAGCATACAGATTGGGTAAGTATGGTGAAAGAACACAACCTTGATGCATGCTCTTCCTAATTTTAAACCATACCATGCAGTATCCTGTTGCTCTGTTCAAACAACAGCCTCCTGGTCCATGTATAGGTTCCTCATGAGCACAACTAAGTGTTCTGGAATTCTCATCCTTCTCATTGTTAACCATAATGTGTGATGATCCACACAATCGAATGCTTTTGCATACTCAATAAAATACAACTATACATTTTTCTATTATTATGCTGAGCAAATAATTCGAGAAGCTGGACTATATGAAGAAAAACATGGCATCAGGATTGGAGGAAGAATCATTAACAACTTGAGATACGCAGACAATACAACTTTGCTTGCTGAAAGTGAGGATGACTTGAGGCACTTACTGATGAAGTTTGAAGAATACAGTTTGCAGTATGCATTACGTCTCAATATAAAGAAAACAAAAATCCTCACAACTGGACCAATGAGCAGCATCACAATAAATGGAGAGAAGACTGAGGCTGTCAAAGAGTTCACGTTGCTTGGTTCTACAACTGATGCCAATAGAAGCAGCAGTCAGGACATAAGATGACGTGTAGCATTGGGAAGGTCAACCACAAAGGAACTGTTTCAAGTATTGAGGAGCAAGGATGTCTCCTTGAGGAGTAAGGTGTGCCTGACACAAGCCATGATATTTCCAATCGCCTGGTATGCATGTGAGAGCTGGACAATGAATAAGGAAGACCGAAGAAGAGTTGATGCTTTTGAGCTTTGGTGCTGGTGAAGAATGCTTAAAGTACCATGGACTGCTAAAAGAACTAATAGATCTGTCCTGGAGGAAGTGCACCCGAAATGCTCCTTGGAAGTGAGAATAGCCAGACTTCGTCTCACCGATTTTGGTCATGTTGTCAGAAAGGACCATTCCTTGGAGAAGGACATCATGCTTGGTAGGGTGGAGGGTCGATGAAAGAGGGGGAGGCCTTCAACGAAATGGATTGACATGGTGGCTGTGATGATGGGCTCAAGTATAGCAGGGATCACGGAGCTGGCATGGGATTCGGCAGTGTTTTGTTCTGCTGTGCATGGGGTCGCTATGGGTCAGAAACAACTCGACGGCACCTAACAACATACATTTTTCTGGTATTCTTTGCTTTCAGCCAAGATCCATCTAGCATCAGCAATGATAGCCCTCGTTTCACATCCTCTTCTGAATCCAGCTTGCATTTCTGGAAGTTCCCTGTCAATATATTGCTGCAATAATTTTTTAATTATCTTCAGTAAGATTTTACTTGCATATGACATTGTTCAATAATTTCCACATTTCTATGGGATTACCTGTCTTTGGAATGGGTAAAATATGGATCTCTTCCAGGCAATTGGCCAGGTAGATGTCTTCCAAATTTCTTGGCATAGACAAGTGAGTGCTTCCAGCATGGCATCTGTTTGTTGAAATCTGATCAATTCCTGGAGCCTTGTTTTTTGCCAATTCCTTTAGTGCAGCTTTGACTTCTTCCTTTAGTACCATTGGTTCTTGATCACATGCCACCTCCTGAAATGGATGAACACCAACCAATTCTTTCATATTCTTTTGATGTTTCCTGCATCAGTCATTATTTTGCCCATAGACCCCTTCAACACTGTAACTCAAAGTTTGAATTTTTTCTTCAGTTCTTTCAGCTTGAGAAATGCCAACCATGTTCTTCCCTTTTGGTTTTCTAACTTCAGATCTTTGCACATTTCATTATAATAATTGACTTTGTCTTCTTAAGCTGTTCTCTGAAATCTTCTGCTCAGTTATTTTATCTTGTCATTTCTTCCATTTGCTTTACCTACTCTCTGTTCAAGGGCAAGCTTCAGAGTCTCTTCTGACATCCATTTTGGTCTTTTCTTCCTCTTCGGTCTTTTTAATGACTTTTTACTTTCTTCACATGTTTTTGATGTTATCTCATAGTTCATCTGGTTTTTGGTCATTGGTGTTCAATGTGTCAAATCTATTCTTTGGACGGTCTCTAAACTCAGGGGGGATATAATCAATGTCTTATTTTGGCTCTCATGGACTTGTTTTAATTTTCTTCAGCTTCAGCTTGAACTTGCATATGACCAATTGATGGTCTGTTCCACAGTCTGCACCTGGCTGTAGATACTAGCTTCTCCATCACCTCTTTCCACAGAGGCAGTAGATCTGATTCCTGTGTATTTCATCTGGCAAAGTCCACATGTATCACTGCCGTTTATGTTGTTGATAAAAGGTATTTGCAATGAGTAAGTCATTGGTCTTGCAAAATTCTATCATGCGATCTCTGGCATCATTTCTATCACCAAGGACCTATTTTCCAACTACTGGTAATTCTTCTTTGTTTCCAACTTTTGCATTCCAATCACCAGTGATAATCAACGTATCTTGATTGAACGTTTGGTCAATTTCAGACTACAGAAGTTGGTAAAAATCTTCAATTTCCTTGTCTTTAGCTTTGGTGGTTGGTGTATAAATTTGAATAATAGTAGTGTTAACTGGTCTTCCTTGTAGGTATATAGATGTTATCCTATCACTGACAGCATTGTTCTTCAAGATAGATCTTGAAACATTCTTTGTGACAATGAATGCCATTTCATTCCTCTGCAATTTGTCATTCCTGGCATAGTAGATCCCATAAAGATTCACAGCCTTGGAAACTCAATGGGTGTCACTCTGATGGACATTAGTGACCATATATGCAATAACTGAGTGAGTTACTTTATGCTGGATACTGGAGAACCAGAGGTTAATTAGAAAGTCTCTACTCTGAGGGCAAGAGGCATGTGAACAGAAAATTAGCCTATAATTGGATACGTGTTGTTCTAGAGAGCTCAGGGAAAGGACAGAGAGCACCTCCCACAGGACAGGTGGAGGCCAATGGAAGTGTCCCATCTGAGCTTAACCTTGAAGGGAAAGTGAGACTCAGACAGTGAGATGGAGGAAGTGCATTTCAGGCCGGCCTATGGGAGTTTGGTGGGTTTAAGGGATGACTTCAGCTGAAGTTATACTGTCCTTGGAAAGGGGGTGATAAGAACAGATCAGGAAGAATCAAGCACCTATTCAAGGCTTTGTGTACCAAGCTACATGTTTGGACAAAGGCAATAACAACAGGAATGGAGAGAGAAACTTCTTTAAGAGATTCATAACTGGAAGAATTGATGAAGTCACCAGGTCAATGTGGGAAATAAGCAAAAGCGAAGGTTGTAAGGTTGAACAACAGGGTGGATAATAATACCATTCAGTGTGACAAAGATGACAAGGGGCATGGTAGGTTCTGAGGAGACAGATGATTAGGACACATTTAGTTTGTGGTATCCAAAAAATGCCTAAATGGAGCCATCCATTAAGCAGGTGAGAATGTGCAAATGTGAGTCCCAGGGAAAGATCCAGGCTAAAGGCACAGAGCTGAGAGGTGAAGAGTGAGAAATCAAGGGAGCAGGGGTAAGAGCCTTGGGAATGAATGGGCTCACCTAGGGACAGTGTCTGAAGTGGAAAGGAAAGATGGTCTTTCTTGGGAAAGGTACCACTTAAGGAGAACAAAAAGAATAAAAGAAACTGTCAAAGGCCTGATCAGAGAAATACCAGGAAAAGCAGGCAAGAGAGGAGATGTGTGAATCCAGGGAAGAGAGAATGTGAAAAAGGACAGTGGTGTCGACACCACTGTAAGTTGTATGCAATCAGATTAAACACTGTCTCATGGCTATCATGGATGCTCATCCCAATAGAAAGTGGCTCTTTCTGTTGAACTCACATTATTGGTGAAGAGCTCCAGCACAAAAGTAGCAACGCTGCCGTTGATCCCTATGAAGAGGTTCACGCTGGTGAGGACCACATAGGCCGTGCTGGGGATCTTGAACACAAAGGAGGCTGGATACATGAGAGGTGTGATCGACCATCTGGTGAGGCACAAAGGTAAGTGGTGACTGGGTGTCCTCTGTCTTCTGTCATTGAGCACCATGCACCTCACCCACGGAGTCCCCTCAGCCCACAGTGCCCACCTTACCCACCCTCCAGGGAGAACCCCCTGCCTGCAGTGCCTGCCTTACCCATCGCCCATGGAGACCCCTTGGCCCACAGTGCCCACCTTACCCACCCCCCAGGGAGACCCCTCGGCCCACAGTGCCCACCTTACCCACCCTCCAGGGAGAACCCCCTGCCTGTAGTGCCTGCCTTACCCATCGCCCACGGAGACCCCTTGGCCCACGGTGCCCGCCTTACCCACCCCCCATGGAGACCCCTCAGCCCATGGTGCCCGCCTTACCCATCACCCACGGAGACCCCTTGGCCCATGGTGCCCGCCTTACCCACCCTCCAGGGAGACCCTCTGCCTGCAGTGCCTGCCATACCCACCCCCCATGGAGACCCCTCGGCCCGTGGTGCCCGCCTTAGCCACCCCCCACGGAGACCCCCCTGCCTGCAGTGCCTGCCTTACCCATCGCCCATGGAGACCCCTCGGCCCATGGTGCCCGCCTTAACCATTGCCCATGGAGAACCCTTGGCCCATGGTGCCCACCTTACCCACTTCCCACGGACACCCCCCTGCCTGCAGTGCCTGCCTTACCCATCGCCCACGGAGACCCCTCGGCCCATGGTGCCCACCTTACCCACCCCCCATGGAGAACCCCCCGCCAGCAGTGCATGCCTTACCCATACAGCAAAAGTAGAAGAGCTAGCACTGGGAGATTGGTGGAGGACACATAGGACTTCTGCTGGAAGCAGATGAAGATGATAATGACCAGCGTGGCAGGAACCACATAGTTGCACTAAAAATGAAAGCAAGGAAATAAAGTTCACCCCAAAGTCAAATATACAACCCATCCCACGTCTTCACCCTTAAGGGTAAGAAAGGGCAGATAAACATATTAAAGAATAACTTTGAATTAATGAAGCCACATAAACTATTGATCAAAATACTGGACAATGCACTGTGACAAGCATTTTACCCTTGGCTGATTTTATAAACTGTATGCCCTTTCTGTCTTTCCAACAGCTAAGCCAAGGTGTCACGCCTAGTAAATTTACTGAACGATGGATTCCCAGTCAAAGTAATTTCAATTTCACAGCACAAAATACGCTTCCACGCCTCCTCCTGAAGATGACTGTGTGTGTTTCCTCATTAATGCTATGTTATAGTCAGCCCCAGTTTGATCTCACATGTAACCTATTTATGAGATAAGTGGTCCTAACATGAACATCAGGACTGTTTCATCACACTGAGAATCATTTTTAAAGTCTGTCCTGACAGTGCATCACACATTAAAACGCAGAAATAAAGACCTGACCACAGGACAATGATGAGCATTCATAGCTGGGGACGGTGGCAAAGCACATGAGGAGAGGTGATGAGTGGGCTTGTCATCAGTGAGAAGAACTACACATGAGACCAGAGGGCTCTGCCACAGCCCCATCCTACTACGTGTGTTTATCAACAACTTAGATGAAGACACACAGCAATTTTCAGAGGCTCTGAAGTTAGGAGGGACAAATGATATGCAGCAGAATAACTGATGTCCTTGAGTTCTGAGAATGGCTCTTTTATCTCTGAATCCCCTACACGTTCTGTAGGCACACAGTCAGTACTCAGTATATGTTTGCTGAATGAATTAACTGAGTCAGGATCAAAAAGATGATAACAAAGTGGATGCTAAACAAGATGCAGTGCAACAGGGATGAAGTTCAGATTCAAAAACATCCATCAATTTATAAGCACCAGTACAGATGAAACAGATGCAATTCAACAATCCTTGTATGAAATGGAGGTTTTAGCTGACTGCCCAGTTGCCAATAAGACAGTGCTACTTCCAAAACGCACTAGCCCTGGGCTACAGTACTAAAAGTATGGAGTACAGATCAACTCCCTCTAGACTCATGATCATCCAGACATACCCTGAACACAAGGCTAACTCTGGGCTGTGCTTTTAAGGGACATTAACAATAGAGCATGGCCACAGAGAGATAACAGATCAGAACAGGGGCAAGTCTGAGAGGTTTGCTTTACTCATCACAGACTCATGTTCTTCATCATCATTGCTCATGGTTTTTCAGGGCTTTAGAGATTACAAAGTGTTTTCTCATATGCAATCCTTTCTGGCGGAAACTTGGGTTAAATAAGAATTATTCCCAAATATCTAAGAGACTACCCAGTGGGAAAAGAATTAGGTTTCTCCTCAGTGGCTTCCAATTGTTGGAAATCATAGGGAGATTATTTTTTAGCTCCACTTTACCATAATTAGAACTTCAGAGTATTGGTGCAAACAAATGTAACTTGCTATACCTGGTATTATACCTGAATTTAGAGACCATCTAAAGAACAGATTGGAGGTATTGAACACCAATGACCGAAAACCAGAATTGTGGTATGACATCAAGAACATCATCCATGAAGAAAGCAAGAGGTCATTAAAAAGATGAGAAAAGAAGAAAAGACTAAAATGGATGTCAGAAGAGACTCTGAAACTTGCCCTTGAGTGGAGAGTAGCTAAAGCAAATGGAAGAATTGACAAGATAAAAGAGCTGAACAGAAGGTTTCAAAGAGCAGCTCAAGAAGACAAAGCCAACTACTATAATGAAATGTGCAAAGACCTGGAGTTAGAAAACCAAAAGGGAAGAACACGGTCGGTATTTCTCAAGCTGAAAGAATTGAGGAAAAAATCGAAGCCTCGAGTTGCAATATTGAAAAATTCTATGAGCAAAATATTGAATGATGCAGGAAGCATCAAAAGAAGATGGAAGGAATAAACAGAGTCACTGTACCAAAAACAACTGGCTGATCTTCATCCATTTCAGGAGGTGGCATTTTTCAAAAACCAGTGATACTGAAGGAAGAAGTTGAAGCTGCACAGAAGAAAACTGGTGAAGAACAAGACTCCTGGAATTGACAGAATACCCATTGGGATGTTTCAACAAACGGATGCCCTGCTGCAGGCACTCACTCCGCTATGTGAAGAGATTTGGAAGACAGCTACCTGGTCAATTGCCTGGAAAAAGATCCACATTTGTACTCATTCCAAAAAAAGGTGATCCCACAGAATGTGGAAATTATCGAACAATATCATTAATATCTCATGTAAGTAAAATCTTACTGAAGATAATTCAAAAATGGTTGCAGCAATATATTGACAGGGAACTTCCAGAAATGCAAGCTGGATTCAAAAGAGGATATGCAATGAGGGATA